TACCCTAAGGGCATCTCCAATGCGGGCGCTAAGGCCGAGCGCCAGGATCAAAATCCTGGTAGTTTTCCTCATATCCCGTCTGATTCCAGGAAATAGGCTATCATCGACGGCGCGCTAGTCGCCAGGTGCTAGCCCAATTTCTCGTCCTTTTTTCACGTGAGTAGTGCCAGTACCTGGCACCGAGCGTTGAAAACAGGGACGCTAGCCCAAGCGCAAGGAAGAAAAACATTTTTTATTACGGCTTAGGTGTCTAATGAGGCGCTTTGCAATGTAGATGTCCTAAGGGTCACGTAGGTAGGCGCTTCCCTCCCCGCACAGTTCTCTTACTCTTCAAAGGCTCTGTCGATGTCTCGTCCTTGAGCACGACAGGGTCGCTAGTAGCGGTGGGCAAGAGCATGCTGCCCAACCAGTGCTGATTGAGTGGTGACCATGGCCAATAATATACAGGGAATACGTAAAATAGACACAAAAAAAGTTAGTTCCATCAAGAAAATGTAATGAATCAAATAGGGATGTGAATACGGGCAATTTGGTCACAAGTAGCAATGGAGGCATGGAAGCACGATCACTCAGGGATCCTGATTGCGTCCCCACCAAGGGCTCATGAAGAGCAGTTGATCTTGAAGGTTGAAGTCTCTGGGTCCTTAATAGACAATATGGGGTTGAAGTCTGTCAAGTGACTCATAACCATCGAGTAGTAGTATCGAGATACCATATGATCTCTCTCTCTCTCTCTCTCTCTCTCTCTCTCTCTCTCTGGATAAGATTGGTGTAACAAGAGAGAAATACTACGGATTAGGGGCTCAAGAATAAGAAGATATTGACCTTCAAGATTTAAGTAAGTGTTCTTGGAACCATCCAACAACTTATATCTTCCCTTCTTGACTTGAGACTCTCTAGACTTGAACAAAGTGGTTGTGAAACGGTTGGAAATTTAACCCTATATAGAGCTAGGCAAAAATCTGACTATTACCTAGAATAAATAATTAGCCTGGAAGTACGGAAGTTATAATCTCAGAACTACCGTAGACGTTCGAACATTTGAACATCCAAAGAATGTCCAGGAAGCCTCACTAAAACGCCGTGCTCAGAAGTCCCAAATAAAAAAATAATAGAGGTTCCTGACAACATAAATGTGGCCCTCTTCTTGGAGAATCAAACTAGCTTACAAGTAAAACCAATTGCTCAGCAGTACCATAGTAAAAAGAGTAGCTCTCGAATGAAAATTGCAGAAAATCCAAAGTCGCAGCTCAGATGTACTCGAAGGATTTGCTCAGGACTACCGCGGACCTATATTGTGAGTCGATAGAGAAGAAAACTGAGAAGGCCCGGAAGTTCTGATGGAATAGTTATGCTTGGAGGTGCTGAAGCTAACACAGAAGGTTTTAAAGGAAACTTTGCTCGACAGTACCAGCGAAAGTTCTTGGTGGTTGCAATGGAAGGAAAATTTAATTTGCTCTTTGTGGGCAACTCACTCCTAAAAGGCTCAGTACTAATGCGTGAAAATGAATGGTGGTATCATGGCTTTGGAAAACAAAGGAGTAGAGTAGCTTGAGTGGATTGTTTTAAGATCTTTGGCTTGGGATCTTGTCTTGGAGTACAAACACAAGTACATTGCTTGTGCCCCTTCTGATGGTATGGTTGTCCTACACTTAATGTGAATCTTGGATTCTCAAGAAACCTATAAATTCCATTCGAAGCTTGAGGTAGACACCATGTTGAAAACTTGGAGGTAATCACTGATATTTCATTCAAATCACGAGGACTATTTTCTGGAACAGACTTGACCAAATGTTAGTTCTCTCAATTGGTTTGCTATTTATCACCAAAATCCAATAGGGTATCTGAGAAATTCACTTTTATATAGTAATAATGAATAAGAAAGGAATATCTTCGCACATCCTAAATATATATGTGTATTACTTCATACAAGAGTTGGAAAATGGAAATGTACATGCACATCTGGGTACAAGAGCTATCTTGTCCTTTCAATGGCGTAAGTTGCTTTGAGATCCACAAAAAGTGCATATGAACATAACAACTTGACTTTCTTTTATCACAACATAGATCTCAAAGTCATTCTGTGGCTGTGTTAGCTCATGCATGCTTGTGTGCATGATCCGGGCTGTTTGGCTAGTGGAGTTTCTAGTAAGTTGTTGGTACCTATTCTCTATTTATTTTTCTGGGTAATGGACTTGTCGTGGATGGTGGTTACTAATATTAGATCTTGATGAAGGCGTTCAGTAGAGGAGACCTATGATATACCTTAGCTATGGCAGACCAATCAGGCAATCACTAACCATGGTGGCAATCGGTCTGGGCCTTTGCTATTACCGAAAAAGGCTTTCGTCTTGCTTTATATATAAAATAATGTGTAAAAAGTTTGGTATAAGCGTTCCTACTGCCTATAGGCAGCCGCGGTGTTTATTTATATTGGGCAAAGACTTGCCTTGGAGTACAAGAGAGATTACATCGGATAGACTTGGATACAGATCAGAGGGAGAGACGGGTTGTTGAGATTACAGATATAGGACTCAAACTCTAACACCCTCCCTTAATTTAAACTACCCCACGTTGAGATTCTTCTTGAACTCCTCAAATGATTTGACTGGCAAGGCTTTTGTGAACCCATCAGCAACTTGATCTTTGGATGGAATAAACCTTATATCCAGCTTCTTTTCTGCCACCCTTTCTAGCACAAAATGAAAGTCAATTTCAATGTGTTTGGTTCTACCATGAAACACTGGATTAGCAGAGAGATAGGTGGCTCCCAAGTTATCACACCATAAACATGAGACACGTTGTTGCTTAATTCCAAGCTCCTTGAGTAATGATTCCATCCAAATAATTTCAGCAGTTGCATTAGCTAACGATTTGTATTCAGATTCTGTACTCGACCTTGACACTGTGGCTTGTTTTCTGGCACTCCAGGAAATAAGGTTCGAACCAAAAAACACAGAAAATCCTCCAGTTGATCTTCTGTCATCACTACATCCTGCCCAGTTTGCATCAGAGAAGGCACTGACAAGTGTCGAACTAGAACGTCTGAACTGAAGACCCAAACTCACAGTGTGTTTGATACATCGAACAATCCTTTTGACACATGTCCAATGAACAGAGGTAGGAGCATGCAAATATTGACAAACCTTGTTCACTGCAAAAGATATGTCTGGCCGTGTTAATGTCAAGTACTGTAGGGCTCTAACAACACTTCTA